CGAGGTGGACGGACGTTCAGCCATATTACATCCCGAAAAAGATCTAGAATGTGGTAATTGTTTTTCTCTTTCTCTCTTTGTTTTTGTGTGCATACAATTTCAGATTAATGGAAACGTGGCATTTCTTCGAATAGTCTTTTTTTATCATTTTTTTCGAATGGCAAATTTAATTATTTTTATTAAAAAATTAATGTTCACAATTAAATGAAATATATATATATCTCAGTTATTATTATTGAAAACTTTGCAATAGCATTAACTAATAACGAGTCAAGTCCTTACCCTCAAATTAATTTTTGTACATCCCATTTTTAGTAGGTCATTTATTGATATTGTTTTTGATAAAATTATTTTAAGCTTCTTCAGTTTTAGGTTATCTGTAAAGTAAAAAAAAATGTTCACAATTAAATTAAATATAATAATAATAGTTGGATTTGTAGAGCGCATCATGCGAAAAAGCCTCTATGCGCTTGGTGATTGAGCTCTTTGAGTTGGACATTTTGAAAAAAAAAATTAAAAAAATGTATAAAAATATATATATCTCAGTTATTATTATTGATAACTTTCAAATAGCATCAACAATAACGAGTCAAGCCCTTACCCTCAATTGGCACATTTCTTTCTTCGCTTTGGTTTTCTGTATGCGTATAAAAAAATTAAAAAATATATTTCAAATTAATTTCAAATTATAAACAAAGTTTGATAATTTAACGCTTCATTTATTCAAAACCCACAAATGAGAAGAAAAAAAATTATGTTTGTAACAAAAAAAAATTTTAAAAAGCAACTAATTACAATAGTTGATGTATAAGCATTAACAAAACATTATTATGGGTGTGTGAAGATTAATAAAGAAAAAATTAAGCTAGTAAATACCTTACCTTCAATCGAGTTTTGTTCTGTAGAGTAAAAAAAAATCAAAATTATTTATATTTTTATAGGTAATAATTACAAATATTTGGTGTACAAGCATAGTATTGGCGTGTGAAGATTAATAAGAAAAGGGAAAAACTAAAGGGAAAAAAATCAGCAAAGACCTTAGTATTACTAGAATTTTCAGTTTGGTCTGTTGAGTAAAAAAAAAATAAAATAATAACAATACACCTATCATAAATTTTTATATGTAACAATTACAAATTTTTATGTATAAATTTAAGAAAAAATATTATGGGTGTGTAAAGATTAATAGGAAAAAAGTGTAAAGATTAAATAAGTAAATACTGTATTAACTTGAATAGCCCGATTTGCGTCTTCGACTGCCATTTCAAACTGTATGTTTCCTATCAAATCATCTTGGAATAACATGCCCCTTATATCATCTAATAATCTGTCTGTAATAGGATCCATCTTAATTTCTTCTGGTTGTATAATACTGCCCCACTATGACAAAAGAAAGTAACTGATGTTTGCATAGGCCTGTGTTTAAACATAGACAGACGACAAGGTTGTGGTGTTTGTAATTCTAGATTACAGACAGTGAACTTAGCTATCTTCCAATTATACTGATGTTTGCATAGGCTCGTGTTTAAACATAGACATACGGCAAGTTTGTGGTGCTAGTAATTCTAGATTACAGACAGTTAACTTAGCTATTTTCCAATTATGCATTCAAGGTTTGCCATTCTCACTTACGTGAAACAAAAACACTAAATAATTTGTTTGTTTTTGAACAAGATGTGTATAAGAGACCAATGCAACAGGTTCTGGAGAAGAAACTGATGTAAGTTTATATTGAATTATGTTCTAGGATTATAGTTAATAAATAAGATTAAATTAGTACTCTCATTTAGTACATAATCATCATTATTAGCAGTTTAGAAATGCTGTTGAACAGTATGATATAATCAGGGACCTGATACTGTATAATAATTGCAGTATATTATGTCACTGTAATGATTATTTATAATAATCACCCCTTTTATATGAATTACCTTTAATTTATATGTTTATATTTTCTATTTTATTATATGTTTTATAGCATGTATTGGTATTCTTTTTAAATAACGTTTGATTCATTTCTACCTCTACCAGAACCGAAAATAGTAACGCACAGGATGCAAGGTTAAAATCTCACATGATCAGTTTATTTCCACTCTCCTATTTACGCAGCTGTGGGCTTGCTGCTGATTGGTTGCTTAAAGTTCTTTGGTCCGCATTTTAGCGATCGATTTAAAATCTTCCTTTTTTGTTTTCTTCTAATGGTTTCTTGATGTCTCTTTCAAGTTTGTGGATCGTATTTACATTTTTGTCTTTTTGATTTTGTCTTAATTTTATTTTTGCATATAATTATTGAATTTAGCGGGTTTTTTTTTGTTTCTAAGAGAAACACTTTAACTAATTGCACAACACAGACAACGTAATTAGAACACCACTGTGTAGGCGCAGCATTTATTAGTTAAATCAATATAACTTAATCGAACTTTATTTTTTTTTGTTCTTTCAGATACGTGTAGAACCATCATCAACCTGTCCGATGCTGTAGTGTATCCAGCCTCGTTAATTAGAATACGTCTTGCAGCATTCCCATATTTCCACTAGAAAAATTTCGGTGGAATTGAAATCTATAGAGGTAAAATGATTTTTTTTTCTCTCTTTATGTTTTATAGATATTATTATTGAATTTAGCAAATTTGTTTTTTTCTTTGTTTTTAACAGTTATTTTACTTGATTTTTCTCGGTTGACTCATGAAATGATTTACAACGTAATTCAAACATCACTGCGGTGGCGCAGCATTTATTCGTTAAATCAATAGAAATTAATCAAATATTATATTTTTTTGTTCTTGCAGATACGTGTCGAACCATCTTCGAACAGTCTACAGATTTCCATTCGAAATGCCATCATGATGAATTCTTATTCTTGCTTGTTATCATTGCCGAACATTCGGCGATTTTGCATAGACTAACGAGAGAACGTTAGTTTCATTTCTTCATCCTGCAGTCTTTTTAGCACACGCACTAGTTCATTTAGACGATTACGTGAAACAACAACACTAAATAATTTGTTTGTTTTTGAACATCTTTTTATTTGGAAAATTTATCTTAGCCGAAAAAATATTTCGGCATTTAATTCCAAATACTCCTCCCTTCTTTCCCAACGACGATAGACTTTTCGGCG